GAATAATATAGATGAACCTCTGCAGTCTTCCAAATCCCTGGGGGTAATGAGGTGGAGGGAACCTGTTAAAATGCATATTCCTGGGTCCCTGCTGAATCAGAAGTTCTAGAGGAATGGATGTAGAGGTCTGCATTTTAACAGACACCCCAGATGAATGTTGTGCACACTAATATTTGAGAATTGCCTCCTTGGGAATTTTTCCTAAAGGAAATACTTGCTAACATCACAGGCTTTTGAAACATACAGAACCTGGGTTAAGTGCCAATTTATTCTGTGAAATAGGGGTAATTCTCACACCTCCTTGGCTTGAAGGGGATGATATGGGATAGATATGCAGATAGAGCCCAAGGTCTAGTACAATGCAGTTTTTACAATATTGTCTCTAATCTGGGAGACTTGACAGTATGATTGTCAGATAAATTTCAGGACACCCAGTTAAACATGAATCTCAGAAAAACATTTTTTTTTAGTATAAGTGTGGCAGCAGCGCTGAGGGCAGTTTCTAGGATCAAGGTGTTGGTGGCAGGATTTGGAAAGTTGTCCCGTGATAGCCTCCATGCCTCAACATCCAGGATACCCAGAAATTATGTGATCTCCTGATTCACTTTAATAAATCCTTTTTTTAGTTGAATCACCTGCCAATTTCTGTTGCTTACAGCTAAGAACCCTGACTGATACAGCATCTGTAACTCTCCACCCAACAACTTGCCATCTGTCTTCTGTTCCCACTGCTTCCCTGAGCTCTTCCTGAAGTCATTAGAGAGGCATAACTGCATGACCTCTCAGCTTTTCTTGGTTCTGTATCCTCTTCTGGTGGAGGAGTGTGTAGAGGACACCCATAACCACCTGCAGGGAGGGAGCTAGTAGAATCAAGATCTGACCTCAGTGTGCCACTACAGGCCCTTCCCCTCCATAGCAAGTGCCTCCCATTGGCCAAACCCAACTAGAAACCAGTGGACAAGGATGCCTGTTGACAGATACATTTGGGTCAGTCTCCAGGACACAGAGCATGGAGAGAAGGGGAGAGTGAGTCTTGAGAGACTAAAGAAATATATCCAGCAAGCAGGGTATATATACTGTCTTGAGTTCGGTCCCCTAGAAACAGAGCCAGTGATGGGAATTTTGCACAGATAACTCTTTGGAGCACTCCTGGGAAGAGACCCATGTAAAGGAGGGAGGGAGAGAAGCAGGATGGGGCAGGAGAAGGAGCTGGACAAAGATGTGGTTTCGGGTTTAGTCTAGTCTCAGCTTGATTCCATGGGTTGCTTTGGAGGAAAGGGGCAGAAATTGCTTAGAGGCAAAGAACTGGGTTATTGTATCCACTGCCCCCCATCAACAGATATTATTAGTTGGTCATTGGTCATGGACTGCTGCTGATATAACTGGCCAGGTCTCCAGATGGGGGAAGCTCTTTACAGCCAAGCTCTTTGGGGAATGAGGGGTAGGAGTAAGCCATTAGCCACCATCAACCACTGCAGCTGGGGGGTGGTGCAGAGTCAGTTTAGGATAGGGTTAGGGTTAGGGTTAGGCTTAGGCTTAGGGTTAGGGTTAAGGGTTAGGGTTAGCGTCAGGGTTAGGGTTGATCTGGGTGGGCATCAATAGCAGCTGCTGGAAGGACATGCCCCTTTTTAACAGGTGTAGAGGATAATAAAATTTTCTTCCCTTAATTTCTAGGTAGGCTAAATCCTGAACAAAAGATAGATTAATAATAGATAGACAAATAGAAACGTATTATCTTGTATATTTTACATATTTCAGGTATATATCTGGGAATGAGTACATACCAAAGTGGTGTCTTAGAATTCCAGTTTATACAGCATCTTCAACTAATAACAGTCCATTTTTAGAGAAGTGACAAGACAGATGAAAAGGAATTTGTGTCTTTGGGTATGTGGCAGATAACGGGAAGGCAGATGTTTAGTTGATAAAGGCTAGTTAGTATAGCTTGTGAATTTAGATTCCTCTGGTGTTCTCTCAGCCTGATAAAGGTCTAAAGTTTTCTTTAGGAGATCAACATTTGTCTTTTCTGGTAGAGGGGGAGGAGCCTTCCCTTCTTTCCTTTAGTCTTCAATGAAGAGTAAATTTATGTCCTGTTTTTAGGCAGATGAGATTCGGGTGGAGAACTTGTTTGTATTTGCTTCAGCTCAAAATGATCCTTCTGCCAAAGTGTCATATTTTAGGATGGCATATTCTGGTCTCCTACACATGCATATTTCTGGATGATGAGGTAAAAATTATTTTTCCTTTGTGATTTTTTGTAATTTAAAAGTGTTCTAAAATTGAATCTATTTTAAGGTACTAGAAAATACGAAGTAAATTAAATCCATTCACCAAAAACACCTGGTTTGTTGCAGGCAGAAGTAGTAGTAAATGGCCCCATATTCCTGACCCCCGTGATGACCTCTTGACCACACTGAGAGATGACCTCTGCTCACTGGCAATGCCAGTCCCCAGGCTGTCCCTGCTTGTCATCAGAGCTTCTTTGCTTCTTTATCAAACTCACTGGGCCAGTGGTTTAGTGCTCAGCTGATTATGTGACTCCTAAATCAAGAATGTAACCAATGTGGCTTGTGGAAGGGACTTGAGGCAGAGACAAAGCAGCTGGGTTGGGCCATCAATAACCAGCACAGTGTGTGTGCCAGAGACAGATAGAACCTTTAGATCTGAGGCCTTGTGTAATCCTTACACTAGCCCCGTGAAGGTGGAATCATTATTCCCATTTAATAGATGAGGCAGTCCTTGGATTGAGGGGTTAACCAGAACTTGTAATTTTTGTCCAACCACCAGTGAAAAGTGAAAGCTCTGGATCAAATGGCTTTAGAGCTTAAGAACCTTGAGGCTTAGCAAGGATGTCTGTCTAGGAAAAGAAGAGGGGCTGACGTGTGCGCCTTGGTCACCACAGCTCTGCCTTGGTCTGTTTCAAATGTTGGCTGGGCTGGCTTCATGGGTGTTGTATTAATCTGTTTTGTGTTGCTGGGTAATTTACTAAGAACAGAAGTTTATGTAGGCTCATGGTTCTGCAGACTGTACAAGAAGCATAGTGCCAGCATCTGCTTCTGGCGAGGCCATGGGAAGCTTACAATCATGGTGGAAGGGGAAGGGAAGCTGGTGTATCACATGGTGAGAGTGGAAGCAGGAGAGAGCTAAGGAAGGTGCCAGGCTTTTAAAAAGTAGCTCCTTTGTGACCCGCCTGGGCAGCAAGACCTCATCTCTACAATAAATAAAAAAATCAGCCGGGCGTGGTAGCACACACCTGTAGTTCCAGCTACTTGGAAGGCTGAGGCGGAAGGATCACCGGAGCCCAGCAGGTCGAGGCTGCGGTGGCCGGGAGCGGCCCCTGCACTCCAATCTGGGCGACAGAGTGAGACTCCACTCAAAAAATAAATAAATAAATAAATAAACAGTAGCTCTTGTAACCAATAGAACAAGAACTCACTCATTACCAAGAGAAACAGCACCAAGCCATTGTTGAGGGAGGGTTCCGCCCCCATGACCCAAGCACCTCCCACCAGACCCCTCTTCCAACACTGGGGATCACATTTCAACATGAGACCTGGAAGGGGCAAATGTTCACACTGTATCAGGTGTGCAGACAGTGCAGCCACACAGGGCCTGCTGGGCTCAGGAGGGGAGGGGCCCTGTGCATAGAACATAATGCTCTGTAGGCACCATCTTGAAATTTTTCATAATTTTATTTTTGAATGTGTGTTTTGTAAGGGAAATAAATGGGCAATGGAGCGCGTGCCAGGTCCTGGAGCTCTGACTCCTGCTCGGCCCCCCTTGCTGTCGCCTTTCTGCCTCCCTGGCATATGTTCTCGCTTCTCACTCTTGACCTGATGCCTTGGGCCTTGCCCCGCCCTGCTGCCCTGCTGCCCTCCTCCAATGGGGGGAGGGAGAAGGGAGCTGTGTTTCTATGTGCTCCAACCCCTCACAGGGACATGGCTGTGGCATAGGGAGGATAGGTCAGGGGTGCAAGTGTCTCAGGCTGGGACAAAGGGGTGAGCATCCCCATCTCGGCTGACAGCACCATGGTGCATTCAGTGGATGGCTCAGGAGGGTCCTCCCACCCACCTCCAACCCTGGTACTGAGTCATGACATCCAGGGAAAATGGCAACGTCTAATGGCACACTGTGGTAAATAGGGAAGGTAGCACTGGGTAGCCTTGAGTTCCACTCAGAAGGCACGAGGGCTGAAAGCAGAGGCCTCTTGCCCCTTCCATCCCATTGGCTCCACCTTTCCCACAGGGCAAGTTATCCAGCAGACAAGGGAACATGCTTACCAGAGCTTAACCCTCTTTTAGAACTGGTTTGTTGTGTTTTTTTCACATCTTCCAGTCCATCACAGACAAATATATGGTCTAATTGTTTGCAGCTAATACACATAGCTTATTCCACCTGTGATTCACCACATAAGTTTAACAGCACCAAACTAGTCTATATCCCGATCTATCTCCTGTGGTTGTTCTGGCAATGTCAAGTTGCTACAGAAATTTCTAAATGCTTGAACTCAGTTTTTGTACATATCCCACAGCAGGTCAGCCACAACCACACCAAGCAGTCTTATTCTAGAATCTTCTGTGGATACCAAGACCCTAGAATCTAGTCTAAATCACACCAAGTCCAAAGCCTGCATCCAAGGCCTTCATGGGCCTCTTCTTCCGACCCATTCTCCATATGTGCACTCCCCTAGGCCCAAACTCTTTGCAGGGGGGAGAAGGGACAGAAATTAAGCACGCACTGTGGGGTCCATATACATGTGATTCAGATCCCTTTTGGTGCAGGATGGAGAGGGCAGGGGATGAGGAGAAGGGAGAGGGACAGGCTGCAGCTGGTAGAGGAAGGGGGCCACAAAGATTTGGGGAAGCCCAGCTGAAGGAATCCATTTCTCTGTGCACCTGGAATCCATCCACAGCACTCCAATGTGCCAAGGCCTTCCAATGAGGAAGCTCTAGGCTGGGCATTTTCCATTTCGACTTGCAATGTTTTGAATTCTGATTTAGATCCCATGGTCACAGTTGAGAGCCCGTTAGCATTTGGTAGAATGGGTGAGTGACACAAGGATAAGTGTCCTGTGGATCAGTGCTTCCTTCTTGTGTAGGACCGCAGCCTCCTCAGCTCTGCTTGTCAACTCCCTCCTGCCCTTACAACACCAGATACCCTGTGCTTCCGATGCCTGCGTCCTGGCAAATAATGTCTCAACACCAGGGAAAGGAATGTGTTTGTTTTCCTTATGTTTGATTAAAAGCAAGCCCAGGCAAACACCCCAAAGGAAAGAGAAACAAATGACTTGACAATTTTTTAAAAACCTACACAATTAGCCAAGAGACATATAAATAATATAATTATCTCTAGTGAACCAAGAAGCATTAGTCCAAGCAATGAGATGCTTTATTTTCTCTCTGAAATTGGCAAAAATGAAAAACAAAAAGGAAAATATTCATTGTTTATGAGTGCTTGGGGGAATACTGCTATTGCATATACAATTGGCAGAAGAGCAATAGAGAAAAATATTTGTAGAGATATTTAATAAATTTGGGAATATGTACATATCTTTTGAAATCTTGGCGACATTGTTTGGTAGTCGTCCTACATTGGTTGCTGATGAAAAGTTGGTGTCAGTCTCATTCTTGATTTTTTTTTTTTCTCTTCTGAAGCTGTTCTTATTATCACTGATGTTCTGAATTTTCACTAAGATCTGTCTAGGCTGGGCTTCTCTTTTTATTTATTTTGCCAAGTGCTTGGTAGGCTATTTCATGTTAAGGTTTCCCATTTTTCTCAGTTCTGAAAAATCCTTATCTATTATTTCTGTGAACATTGCTTTCCCCAGTTTTCTTTTTCTAAAATTCTTACTAAATCAAGGTCTAATTTCTGGATTTCTGTCTTGTGTTTCCTAATACTTTATGCTATCTTTCAAGAGGATTCCTTGGCTTGCCCTTTTGGCTCACTAAATTACTCTTTAGCTGATATTCAGCTTCTCTATCAAGGCTTTTTTCTTTCATTTCAACATTTAAGATTATTATTTCATGTATCTCTGATTGAACCTTTTTGGGTCACTCTTGTCCTTATTGTGTGGTTGTATTATCTTCATTTTTCTGAGCACATCTATTATGCTTACTTGAAATTCTTTTCTTCATAATATATGAACTCCATTTCTTTTGAGGTCTCAATTGTAGAGCTAGTTATCTCTCTTTTATGGTGTTGGCCTTCCTCAAATGTTTGCTCATTCTTATTTTTGTAACTAAAATTTCCTGCTAGAATGTCATCTGCATTTATTCAAGAGGCCCATTTAGCGAGCAGGGATGGAAACCTAACTCTTGGCACTGTTTTCAGAAAACCAGCCTTCTTGGTCTTGGTTTTTTTCTTCCTCTTAGGTGTCTCCAGCCTACGAAAGCACTGTCTGTGTCTCTGAGTCAAGTCTCTCACAGACTCCTCAGTGGAGGAGAAGAATGGCCGGGTTACCTGGCTGCTCCTGGCCTCATTGTGGCAAAACCTCTGTACACTTCTGTCATTCCACCCAGGGTTCCCCTTCGTACTTCCTGGGTCACCTTTTCTCTTTCCAATAAGAAACTTTTCATCCTTCGTGAATTCTTCAGTGTAGTCCTCTTGCTTTTCAGTGAGGCTGTGTATCTAAACTTCCAATCACTTCTTGGTACTTGTTATGGGAGGCCCATGTGCTCAGCCCAACACTTTGAGAGGGAACTATGCAAAAATCTCTGTATAACCTTTGAGCCAGTGATCCCATTTCTAGAAATTTATCCCAAGGAAGTAATTAAAAGTAAAACTTTAAGCACAAGGAGTTTCACTGCAGTAACATTTATTATGAAAAAGTGGAGCTAGGATCGCCTGAGCCCAGAAGATCGAGGCTACGGTGAGCTGTGAGCGTGCCACTGCACTCCAGCCTGAGTGACAGAATGAGACTCAACTCAAAAATAAATAAATATAGCCAGGCTCGGTGGCTCAGCCTGTAATCCCGCGCCTTTGGGAGGCTGAGGTGAGTGGATTGCCTGAGCCCGCGGGTTCGAGACCCGCCTGGGCAGGCGAGACCTCATCTCTACAATAAAAAATAAAAAAAATAAAAAAATTAGCCGGGCGTGGCAGCACGCGCCTGTAATTCCGGCTACTCGGAAGGCTGAGGCGGAAGGATTGCCAGAGCCCAGCAGGTGGAGGCTGCGGTGGCCAGGAGCGGCCGCTGCACTCCAGTCTGGGCGACAGAGTGAGACTCCAACTCAGGAAAAAAAAATAATAAAATAAATAAATAAATAAATAAATGAAAGAAAAAGCGGAAACAAATATTCAATCAGAGGGGATTTGTTAAATAAATGGTGACACAACTGTACAACAACAGACATGTGAAAAATAATATGGCAGAATATTTATTTTATTTCATTATAGAGATGTAGGGTGCAGAGGATTTACTGCATAAGTAGGCTGCATGCAGGTGAAGTTTGGGCTTTTAATTAGCTCTCACTCCCCCGGTAGTGAACCAGGTACCCTTTGTGTTGTAATGTGCTTCCCACCCTCCTTTCTCCCTCCCTCCCCAAGCGGTGGCCAGCGACTGCCAATCCCTACCTTGTGTTAATATGACTAATGCTCAGGGCCCACTTATGAGTGAGGACATGTAGTATTCAGCTCTTTGTCTCTGTGATAGATCACTTAGTATGATGGTCTCCAACGCCATCCAATTTGTTGCAAATGCCATGATTTTGTTCTTCTTTATGGTTGTATAATACACCATTATGTATATGTACCACATTTTTCTTATCCAGTCTACTTTCTGTGGGCAGTAGGATTGGTTCCATGGTTTTGCTATTGTGAATAGTGTGGCAGTAAACATGCATGTGTAGTTGTCTTTTTTGTAGAGTGAATTATATTCCTCTGGGGATATTCCCAGGAGAGGGATTGCTGTATCGTATGGAAGGTCAATTTTTAGTTCTTTTAGGAATCGCCACACAGCTTTCCATAGAGGTTGGACTAGTTTGCACTCTCACCAACAGTGTAAAAGCGTTCCCTTTTCTCTGCACCTGTACCAGCATCTGTTGTTTTTTGATTTATTAATGATAGCCATCCTTACCGGAGTTAGGTGGTATCTCACTGTAGTTTCAATTTGCATTTCTCTGATGATTAGTGAGGCTGAACATTTTTTCCTGTATGTGTTAGCTGCTTGTATGTTGTCTTTTGAGAAGCACCTGTTCATGTCCTTTGCCCACTTTTTAATAGGGTTGTTTGCTTTTTTCCTTTCACTTTGTTTGAGTTCCTTGTAGATTCTAGATGTTAGGCCTTTGTCTGGTGCATACTTTGCAAATATTTTTTCCTATTCTATGGGTTGTCTCTTTACTCTCTTGATGGTTTTGTTTGCTGTGGAAAAGCTTTTCAATTTGATGAGGTCTCACTTATCTATCTTAGCTTTTATGAAATTGGCTTTGGGGGCCTTGATCAAAAATTCATTGCTTACTCCGATGTGCATAAGGGTGTTTCCTACATTTTCTTCTAGGATTCTTATAGTTTGAAGTTTTACATTTAGGTCTTTGATTCATTTAGAGTTGATTTTTGTAGATGCTGATAGGTAGGGGTCCAGTTTCATCCTTTTGCATGTGGTTAGCCAGTTTTCCTGGCACCATTTGCTAAATATGGCCTCCTTTCCCCAGTAATTGTTATTGGTGGCTTTGTCAAAGATGAGTTGGTTGAGAGACGATGTTTTTGTTTCTGAAATCTCTGTCCCAATCCATGGGTCTGTGTTCCTATTCTTGTACCAATACCAGGCTGTTTAAAGTATGGAAGTGTGATACCTTCACTTTGTTCCTTTCGCTGAGAACTGTTTTTGCTATTTATGCTCTTTTTTGTTTCCATATGAATTTCTGCATTGTCTTTTTCAGGTCTGAGAAAAAACGATTTTGGTAATTTGATGGGTATTACATTGAATCTGTAGATTGCCTTGGGTAGGATGGACATCTTGACGATATTGATTCTTCTAATCCATGAGCGTAGACTATTTTTCAGTTTGTGCCATCCTTGATTTCTTTGAGCAGTGTTTTGTAGTTCTCGTTGTAAACGTCTTTCAGTTCACTGGTTAGGTGGATGCCGAGGTATTTCTTTGTGTGTGTGGGGGGGGTATTGTGAATGGCTTATGCTTTTTTTTGGTTTTCTGCCTGCTTCTTCCTGGTATATAGAAATGCAACTGTCTTTTGCACATTGATTTTATACCCTGAGACTTTACCAAAAACATTTATCAGTGCGAGTAGGCTTTTGGCAGACTCCCTTGGGTTTTCAAGGTGTAGAATCATATCATCCTCAAAGAGGGTAGCTTAACTTCCTCTTTTCTTATTTGGATAACCCCCAATTTCCTTCTCTTGTCTGATAGCTGTGGCTAGGACTTCTAGAACTATGTTGAACAGGAGGGATGAGAGTGGACATTCTTGTCTTGTTCCTGTTCTTAAGGAGAATGCTTCCAGTTTCTACCCATTGAGCAAAATGTTGGCTGTGGGTTTATCATAGATGGGTCTTACTGTTCTGAGGAATGTTCCTTATTAATTTATTAATTAATTTATTTATTGAGTTGGAGTCTCACTCTGTTCCCCAGGTTGGAGTTCAGTGGTATGCTCACGGCCACCGCAGCCTCGGCCTACTGGGCTCAGGCTATCCTTCTGCCTCAGCCTTTCAAGTAGCTGGAACTACAGGCACACGCCACCACTCCAGGCTAATTTTTTCATTTACTGTAGAGACGAGGCCTCACCAAATTGTCCAGGCTGGTCTCGAAACCCTGAGCTTGGGCAATCCTCTTGCCTCTGCCACGCGAAGTGCTAGGATTACAGGTGTGAGCCTCCGCACCTGGCAAGGAATGCGCCTTCTATTATCGCATGGAAAAATATCATCAAGGTATCATTAAGTGGAAATTTCAGGTTACAGAAATATTCTAAAATCCCATTTTTTAAAATGGGCACATGTTCTTATAGAAAAGGGTAGCTCTGCACAGTGGGATTTCTAGTGGCTTTTATTTTTTCTTTTTGACTACCTTTTTCTCTACTATCTTGCGATTGTTTATAGCAACTGCCATGTGCAAGCCTCTGATGACATCCTCTGCTCACCCCTCCCCCAGGTGTGCTGGAAGAGGGACTGTCCTCCAATGGTGTGCCCCGATCTACAGCCCCTGGTGGAATATCCAACCCAGAGAAGAAGATGAACTGTGGAACCCAGTGCCCAAATCCTCAGAGCCTCAGCTCAGGTCCTCTGACCCAGAAACAGAATGGCCTTCGGACCATGGAGGTAGGATCACAGCCACAGAATTGTTGGGGAGAAGAGGGGGCTGGAGAATAGAGGTGGGTCTTGCTTCAGGGCAGAGCCACTTAGAGGCTGTGTCCCAGGCAGGAGCAGGGATGACGCACCTTGGCAATGGAAATTCTCTACCTTACCCATGTAAAAGTTGCTGCCAACACCACCCTGAAACCTCGCCTTGAGGATTGCTGTTTTTTGTTGAATCAGCAGAAACAGGCCCTTGGTGTTTGCACGTGTGTGTTTGCTTAAGTACAGCTTTGTTAGGGGATTGTCTTTCCTGTGCTGTCACTGTCTTGACAGTGAGGCCGGCGCTGGTTAGAGGAACCAGTCTTGGGCCAGGCAGCTGGTCAATCTCAGGTGCTGGTTGGGTGGGGAATGGGCAGAGGAAGGAGAGAGGAGATCGGTGTGGTAGGAAACAAACCTGGCATTTTGCCTCAGACCTTCCAACCAGGAGGGCATTGAAAGGGTTCCAAGGTAGCTCTTGTACCACAATGTGGTGACAGAATCATCCCTAGACTGTTGCTGTTGGAGAAGAGGCAGGGCGGTGGTGTCCCCAGACCTGGCTGGCATCCTTTCTGATCCTTCCTCTTCTCCTAGAGCTATTTTGGGGAGGGTGCCTCCTGCTGCCCTTGGCTTCTCTCATGGGTGCAGGAGGGCATAGCCCAGTATGAATGTCTTCAGTAGGAGGCTCAAAGTTCTGCCGCCTTCTTCCTCCTTTGCAGTTTCTCCCTCCAACTTCCTGATCACCCTGCCCTGCCCTCTTCAAAGTCCACAGCTTACCCAGTGCTCCAAACCCATTTTCCTTCATCTGCTCTGTCAACATTTACTGTTCCTGTCCCTCAGGCTAATGCCACTTGTTTCCTGAGGATACAACTTGTCACCTAATGATGGGATTTTTGCTCACAGTGCTGAGTTGCCTCTCCAAGCTTTGGTCAGAAAACCTGCTGCACATGCATCTCTAAAACTCATTAACTAAGAGCATTGCAGAAATCATTTAATTTCTCAGAATCTCAAGTCCCTCTTCCAAACAATGAAAATAATGCCAGAATGCCTGAGCAGAGGGGCCAGCTTTTGTACACTGAGATGTACATAAGAATAGCAGTAAGGATTAACAGGGGATGGTTAGGCACACAGCACCACAGCGGACTTCAATGAATGGCTAATGGGGGCCCTGCAGACACTGGAGATGCCAAGGGCTGAGGGGTGGGCTGTTGGTAATCGTGACCTTCCTGGCATCCTGTGTTGTCTACATTAGCTGGCATAAACCGGCCTTCTAGAGACCTAAGCTTCAACTTCACTGCTCTCTCCCAGAGTAGTCTAGGCCCCACAGAACTGTATTCAGAAGGTTGGTGACTGCCTCAGTGCAGATCCAGTCATTTGTCCTCTAGTCTCCTCCTCACACTGTGCCCCCACCCTCTGAGCCAGGATAGGCCCTGGCAGGGAGGAGGCAGCTTTTTCCCTGGTGGAACTTTGAGATCTTATGCCTCACCTTTCTAATAGCCACATAATCTGCACACTCATTTCTCCCACCTCATTTCCTGCCCCCATCACCCACCTATTACTTTAAAATTGTGTTTTACAGTTCACAAAGTGCTTTCAGGGCTTCTGGCCCATTAAGTCCTCCCAAGGGTATTGTGAGGTAAGCATCATCCTTGTTTTATAGACAAGGAAACTGAGGTTCATTTGTGTGACATGAATGAAGCCAGGGAAGTGTTGAAGATGGCTATCAGTAACTTTAAACTGAAAAATGTGGCTATTAGAAAGGTGAGGCATAAGATCTCAAAGTGCCTTTTTTAGAGGAATAATGTATTAGTCAGCTACTGCCTCCATAATGATACATAACAAAGCACATCAACATTTGGTGGTTTGAGACAACTCCCCCCGCCTCCCCCACCATGGCCAACTGTAGCTTAAATAGGCTGAGTCTGACTTTAGAGTCCAGGCTCCAGGACTGGCTCGGTTTGTGCACCACATATTATTCTGGGGATCAGACCAAGAAAGCAGCAGCTATCTGAGGCATGTTCTTCTCTTGACTATGGCACACACTCAAGAGGCAAAGCCAGACTACTTACACATTTCTTCACATTTCTTTCCTTCTTCTTCTTCTTCTTCTTCTTCTTCACCCAGGCTGAAGTACAGTGGCACAATCACGGTTTACTGCAGTCTCAACCCCCTAGGCTCAAGTCATCCCCTTGCCTCAGCCTCCCAAGTAGTAGGGACTCCAGGCATACACATGACACTTGGTAATTTTTTATTTTTATTTTGGTAGAGACGGGGTCTTGCTATGTTGCCCAGGCTGGTCTTGAACTGCTGGTCTCAAGTAATCCTTGGCCTGGTTTTTGTTTTGTTTTGTTTTTACCTTTTTTTGTAAAGATGAGGTTTTGCTGTGCTGCCTAAGCTGGTCTTGAACTCTTGGGCTCAAGCAGTCTTCCCTCCTCAGCCTTCCAAAGTGAGCCACTGCACCCAGCCACTTGAAGACATTTATTGTGTCTGCCCACATCATATCCACTGCTTCCTACTGGCCAAAGCAAGTCAAATGGACAACCTAACATTTAGCAGGGAGGCATACTCTGTCCAAAGGGGAGAGAGCACAAAGAATTAAAAGCACTAATGTAGTCTACCATATGAAACATACATAAAGATGCACAAGTTCAATGAATTTTTATAAGGTGATGCTCATGGAACCATCGTGCAGATGAAGACATAAAACATTGGCACTAGCCCAGAAATGCCCCGTGTGCTCCTTTCTGGCCATCAGCCATCCCTCATAACATAAGCACTTTTCTGCTTTCTAGTGTGATAGATTAGTTTGGTTTATTTTTGAGATTTTTATAAATGAAATCATATAGTGCATGCTTTTTTTTTGCATCTGGCTTCTTTTACTCAACATTATCCTTGTGAAAATCATCTGTTTTGTGGTGAATTGCAACAATTTTCTCATTTTCATTGTAATGTATATTTTATTATATGAATTCACCACATTTTTAGCCACTTTACTTGATGGGCATTTGGGTGGTTTCCTGTTTGGGGCTATTGTCAACAGTATAGCTCTTAACATTCCCATGCATGCTTTTTGGTGGACAGCCACTTCTTTGGGGCATATACCTAGTAGTGGAATTGCTGGATCTTAGGAGAGCAAATATTGACTTTAATAGATACTGACAAATAGTCTTCCAAAGTGCTTATACTGCTTTACACTCTAACCTGCAGTAGATAAGTTCCACTTATGGAATATCAGAATTTAAAATCAGTAAACTGTGCTTAGTCTGTCTTCTTTATGCTTGTGATAGCAACTATTTATTCATGTGTGTTCTAGGTACAACAGAGGGTGCTAAATACTTTGTTATATTATCTCACCTAATCCTTACAGTAAATCTAAAATGTTGACATTGTTGTCTCCAGTTTACAGATGAGAATTGAGACTCAGAGAGAGCTTAGGAAAGCACTCTTTGACACACACACACACACACACACACACGCGCGCGCGCGCGCGCGCGCGCTTTCTGGGAGCTTATATGACAGTTAAAATGGGGCCAGGCAGAGCCAGCCCCCACTGACGGCAGCAGAAACTGTGTCACAGGGGAGTGATGACCACACATACCTGACCAACACACATTGATACACACCCACGCCACTTTTGTTTTCTCAATGCAGTGATCATGGCTGTGTTGTGACTATTTCCAAAATAAGACCAGGGAGCAGATAAGTTCAAGTTTTAAGTGTTTAGACAACTGCTAAAGTTTACCAGTTGCTTTCACATCCTGAGACCTCATCAGCCACCAGCCACCCTGAGTCCCTCAAAGCCCTGGGCAAAGTGTTTCTATCTAAGGCGTTGGTTTACAAGGAGAGTTGACCTCTGATTGACACTTCTGTCAGTAGAGTCATTCCACACCAGCACTCAGATTGGCTCTCAACTGCCTAGAATCTGCCCAGAGAAAATCATTTTCTTCCTATTCCCTCCTGGGCCTTGGATACCCTGCCTTTTGCTGGTGTGCCTCACAGACTCTGGACCAAAGCCTTGTGCATTTTTAGTATCAGGCTCAGTTAGTGGCTACCTGTCTCTTCTGGTTGTCCTCTGTACCCCTAAGATGACCAACTAGCATTTCAGAACATTCCCCTGATGCATCAGCAGGGCGCCTGGCAGATAGCTCTTTGGTGTTTTTTGAAAGCTTTTCTTCTCCTGGAGATCCATTTCCTGAAGCACGCATCCTCACCCACACGCCTGCTGCCGTCTGCCCACTCAGATTAACAAAACAGATTTGTATGTGAAAGGCAATCCTTGCTAGGCCTGGAAAACAACCTCATGGGTTCCTAGAACTGCTTTAAGATTTATTCATCAAGCACTCATTGAGTGCCAGCTAGTGCCAGGCGCTGCACTAATGCCAAGGATCCAGGAGTGGAAAAGACAGACATGACTTTTGCTCTGAAGCAGCTACCCATTTTTATGGGGGTGAGGGAGGGGAGTCAGATAATATGGAATAATTAAACAAGTATGTATAGTGTCGGGACGGTAATAGAAGGAAATAGAAGGGGGTAGCAACTACCGTATGCACCTTGATGCCACCCCACAGTTCAAACTGCTTTCTGAAAGACAGAGGGGACAACTAATGTTGCCAATGACTGTGAGCAACATTATCTTGTTTCCTGGGATTTTTTAAAATCAGGATCTCTCATTTTGTCGCCCAGGCGGGAGTGCAGTGGCATGATCACCGCTACCACAGCCTCGACCTCCTGGGCTCAGGCGATCCTTCTACCTCAGTCTCCCAAGTGGCTGGGATTACAGGTGCGTGCCACTACACTCAGCTAATTTTTTTTATTTATTGTAGAGATGAGGTCTTACTATGTTGCTCAGACTGGTCTTGAACTCCTGGGTTCAGGCAGTCCTTTCACCTTGGCCCCCCTAAGTGCTAAGGATTACAGGCATGAACCACTGTGCCCAGCCTAGCATCTTGTGTTCTGAGCCCTTCTCCACTTCATGTCCCATGAAACAACCCCTATCTTCCTTGTGTCGATTCCCTCTGGCCCCTGCCTTATGCCTGGTGCTAATAGATGGTAACTGTCAAAAAGATTGTAGCAAAAACGATTTTTTACAAATTGTAACTCACTCTCTTGGTGGAGAGCTCTTTCTCTATTGCTCCCTGATTTCCGCAGTCATCTGGGGCCTTTTTGACTTAGTGGAGTCTAATAAATCATCGACTTGGTCTTCTTCCTCCGGCTCCCTTTCCTCCAGCTCCCTGTCTGAGTTCAGTGAACAGCATTAGAGGCAGCCCTAGGTTGCTGTTCATCTATTAATTCATTGTTTGGAAACTCTGGGCTGCCTCTAAACATTTACTCTCTAACCTGAATGTGCCATTTCCTTGGGCTTAGGACTCTTGTTTTTCCCACTCCCAAATCACCTCCTCAAGTATCCAGCTCAGTAGAAATGTATATGTGGATGTAGCTCTAAGCAGACAAAGCTCTGAGTATGTGGCTGGCCTCCCAAGGGGCCTTCGTGTCTTCAGAGGCAGCGTATTCTCAGTTGCTTGATTATTCTTGGCAAAGTGGCCTGACTGTGCTAGAGGAATGAGCCAATGGACTGACTCTGCTAAGCAGCGTCCTCCCTCAGCTTCTCCCCCTGCCCCCTACCTCCCCCCCATGTCTGCCGTCAATCATTGTCAAGGCCTAGCCCAGTCTAGAAAAGACGGGTGAAGCCCCACAGAGATGGAAGACCTGATCAAGGGAGCAGGGTGGGACGGGTCCAGAATTTCTCCTAAACAACAGTAGTATGAGACATATCAGGGAAGAGTTTGGAAAGTAAATATGAGACTCTCCTAGAAAAACAAAAACAAGACATTAAAAAGAAGGAGGAAAACAAAAGAAACCACTGGGGAAAAACAAAGAAGGAGAAGCTGTTAGAGGGCACTTTGGTATACTCACCAGCACAATCTGGGGAAAGGAAGGGATTCAGCAGTCGAGGGATATTGCCTAGTTATTGCAGAGATTTCCAAGAGTCACCATGAAATCTAAGGTCTGCGGTAAACCCAGTCCAGTGAAAAGGCTCTCAGGGTGGAGACCTCGCTTTTTCTTTATATTCTTCCCTTGACCCTGAACCCTGAGCCTGCTTCAGAGTTCTGCATCTAATAGGTGCTCAATAAGTGCACGTTGATTGAATGAGACCGCCTCGTGATTCACTCAGATAACAGGTTCTATGAGCAGGATGCTGACTTAAGGTTTGTTAGTCACTCGTGAACCAAGAATTAACACGATACCAGACTCAGGACTACAGGAAAGCAAAGCAAAGCCAAGTGTGATTGCAAGCAAGCAAGTACACCCTAAGGGTCAGGAGGAGCGAGCTGCTCAGGAGAGTGAGCCAGGCCTGCTTATTCTTCTGGATTGGTCTTCTATAGCTCACTTTTTGAAAAGTCTTCACAATTTCTTTTGTCCTGACAGTTCTTGGTCTTGGTGTGTTAGTTACCTCTCGGCTTGGTTAATGATTAGAGTAAAACTGAACTTCAAAATCACAAAGTGGGGGGAATCACACTTGGAAAAAAATGTGCACTTTTCAGTCTAAGTGGCCTTTACATTCAGCTTGACTAATCATTGTAAAATAAAGCTAGTTTTTATTTTTGTTTTTTTAAACAGAGCTTATTAGTGAGAAGAGAGGGGGAAAGGAAGATTCATGGCAGAAAGACCTGCCATGGGCAAAATTCTCAAAAAGGAAAACTATGCCCCGTTTTTATTTTTCTAATAGAAGCTGTTTCTCTATCATAAACATGCAGTCCTAGGTTGCAGCCTACAATAGTTTGGTTGTTACAGCCTGGTGAAAGGGAACAATTAACTGAAATGTCAGTGGGCTTCCTGTACCTCACCCTTCCCTTTGTCTCTTGCTCTTGTCTGTTCTAACTTCCTAACGGTTCTGTAGGTTCTGACCCCACCCATCCCAGCTTTGCACCACTGACATTGTCATATGATGACTGTGGGAGCCCAGATGCTTTTCTAGAGCAGGTTTTGTTGCCTTTCTAATGTCTGACCTTCTATTTGAGGTTCAAGTTAAAAAATAACATCTCCTTTTGCACTTGATAAAATCCCCAAGGCTGAGTTAGTCCAATTAAGGACTGGGCATGGTGCTGTGGTCTACACAGGATATGCTCCAGACTCAGGGATTCTTGAGAGTTTTGCCTGTAGCATGGTCTGATCCCTGCCCTGCCATCTCCCAGGGCAGCCTGGGCCCTATAGGACTATGTTCAGAAGCTGGCAGCTGGCCTGCAGTGGAGTTACTAAGATCAAACGCCCCCCTCACCGACCTCCCATTACTGCTATACACGTTTAGCAAATAAATTTATGAGATTTGGGAACTAGAGGTTTGTTATTGTGTCACCCTTTCATGGGACCTGACTGAAGTCAGACGTCTTGAGTTGCAGCTGACAAAGCTCTGGTCTTTAATCTTTTGGGAAGGAAAGGAGGAAATAACATTTCGGCGTGCCTACTAGGTGTCAGACACACTATATATGACATCATCTTTAACCCTCACAACTCTAAAAGGTAAGCAGTATCATCCCTCACCTGGGAAAACAGAGACTCAAAACTAGATATTTGGCCAACACAGCCCAGGGAGTCATGATATGGCTGTGTTGGAATTCAAACCCGGGCCTGTCTCCTCCACATCCTACATTCTTCCTTCCCATTACCTGAAACATAATAGTAAATAATTTAGAGTGAGCTTCAGCAGAGTTATGGGAGGCTGGATGTGGAACCTGGGCCACCATCTTTGGTTTGACTCACCACCTGTATTGACATTGGCCTTGGGACAAATTGCATGAGCCTGAGTGATTTCAGCTGCTTCTTTGGGAAAGCAAATGTGGTAACATTCCCACCCGTCTCTCAAGGATGGTACAAGGAACAATCCATCATGAACATAATTTAAATCCTGCAGAAAAGTTCTAGGGCATTTTAGGCAGGGCAGTGCAAACAGCTTCTGTTCCCAGGGATTTTTCTTCTCCTTTCTTTCTTTCTGAAGATTTATCATTGTCAGATTATTTATTGGGTGTCTATTTTGCAATAGACACTAAATCAGAGTCTGGAAATACTGCAGAGAACAAAATAGACTGGGTCTCTGCCATCTCAAAGTTTATCTTCCAATGAGAAAGTTAAAAAAAAAATCAGCAAACAAATAAGTGTATCATTTAAACTGTGGTTAAAGACCAGGAAGGAAGTAAAGAGTGTAAGGAGAGAGAATAGCAGGGCCCTATGTTTATATCTGCTTTGAAAGTCTCTGCAACATTCCATTAGAAATTATTAGCCATGATTACCTCTGGGAAAGGCCTTAGGAGCCAGAAGGTAGAAATGTGTTACTTTTCACTGTGCCCCTTTCTACTCTTTGAATTTCTTTTTACCATAATTACGCATTGCCTTTATAATTTAAAAATACTGACACAGAAAAATTGGTGTCTCATAAATCATAATCTCATAAACTTTTCTTTTCTTTGTTGTCTGAGAGCTGTGAAAAGGTTCATATACGCCCATGTTAGGTACAGATATAATTGTGGAGTTCAGGCAAAGCTGAGAACATCTCAATTTCCGTTTTGGGGGAAAGTGAGAAAAGGCTGAGTGAGTGGAGCTGCAGCCTTGAATCCAGGTCTCCAGCAGCTGTCAGGCTGTCCCCGCCTCCACCGGGAACAGGCTGATCATTGACTTGTGAACCTCAAGAGAAACATCCATCTGGGTCAGAGACTGCCAAGAAGTTATCACAGTCAATCTGGTTCCCCTTGGGAAATGGCAGCCAATAAATTACTTTTAATTAAAGAGACAGTACCAAGAGGACTAAAATCTATGATTCACAGGGTACTAAACCTGCAGAAATTAAAATGAGGCAAGGAAATAATAGGAAAGCTGTAAAACTCAGTGAGAGGCGAGAGGTGGCCCATTAACAAGAGTCAACAGTGATAAAACTCACAAAATGCAAATATTAGAAGTGGAGGCAGGAGTGAATTAGCAGACAGCTGCATAAGGAAAAGGTGCCAGAAAGGCTATTCTCCTCCATTTAACTAGGAATCAGGAGATTTTTTTTTAAAGCCAATAATTGCAGTAGGGACACATTTTCTTTTTCTGTCATTCAAAGAGGGGGGTGGGTGGGATATTAAACAATAAGGTTTAGCTGGCCGAAAACCACACCAAAGGAAAAACCACGTCTATGTTGTGAGGGATACATGGTGTAATTGTTTACTGAATTTATAAAGCTCTTTTCTCAGTGGAAGGCAAAGCAACTCACTTCTCAGTATGCCTAGAGAAAACATTTAGCATTGTAGTTCTCTTTCTCCTTTCCTTTCTCCCTCTCATTTGGGCTTGGAGTCTAACGTTTCCCAGTTGTAACTAGACTGTGGTGACTACCAACCTCCCAAATATACTCACAGCTATTAAAGGGGTGGGAATCCTTTTCTTGATGTCTCAGATTCGAAATCTTTTTTATAAAAATGTTTCCAAGAAAAGACATTGTTACCAGGCAAATGGGGGCCAAAGGAGGGCCCAAACTTTACCTGTATGATGACCACTTACTTGTATACCTAATCCTGTACCCCATATCTTTAAAGTAAAAAGAACATTAAACACCAAATAAAAAGACAGAAAAAAGCACACACACACACACAAAATTTTCTAAATGCTTACTGTCCTAAATGTAATGCACTGTAATTATCTAAGGTAGATTTGTTTATACCTTGGAATCTTCTGAGACCACCATGGGCATTCCGAACTGTAGTTTGTCTTTTTATCCAAAAGCATATCTTTTAGTTATTATTGTTGTTGCTATTTAAAAGTAGTAGTAGCAATAGTTGTTGTTTCCGTAGAATAAGGTTTTATATTTTAATTTGCTATATTTGACTGACATCATCTTTTTGCAAATAAAATTAATGTTAATAGCTATAATTGGGGTGACTAACTGTCCTGGTTTGCTGGGGCCTGAGGAAGTTTCTGGGATGTGAAACTTTTAGTTTTAAGACACGTCAGTCCTGGATAAAACAGGAGAAGTTTGTTACTTTATCAATGCTACATGACATACTTGTTTCTCTCAAAAAACCTAAAAAGCAGCTGGGCTCGGTGGCTCAGCCTATAATCCCGCACTTTGGGAGGCTGAGGTGAGTGGAT